GAGTTTCGTTCTTATCTTGGCAGTGTATGTTTATTTCGAAGCATCTTTTGTTCGGCTGCAGTTATTCCTGGCGTCAACGTATCCTGCTCTAGTCGCGAGGTTAGGGTTTTTGCGTCAGCGATGGTAGGCTGTTTGTTTCAAGGCAACAGTTCTAGAACAGTTTTTGTTGAACCAGTGTTTCGATGGTGATCATCTGTTCGAAGAATGAGGTATTTATGTGTCCATTCCGAGCATGATGATCTCGGATATTTCCGCAGCGCACTGTGCGGGGTTCTCAGAGTCAAAGCATACTCTATGCCAAGGAGACTCGAAGAAAAACATGCGGAAACCGTCCCAACCTCCTGAATGGTAATGCCATATAAGACGTGGGGGTGCCGGAGCAGTTGATGGAATGAAAAATCGGCAGGTTGTGGAGATGAGTGTGTTGTCAGAATTGCCAAGTGGAGCTCGTACATCTACGGTGTAGGGTGCTGAATTGTAAGTGAGGAATGAGTCAAGTATATTAGCTGAATGGTTATTGGCATAGGGAATTCGTGTGGGTTTTTTGATAAGCTGCTCTAAGCCGTGAGTAATGGCGAAAGCTTCGGCTTGTCGCCCAGCTTTGTTCTTTCTGTTGTAGTGTACGAGCCAAGCATTGTTGTGTACATTGAAATCGCCCATGATGATGATTTCTGCTGCTGGATGGTTCTGTTGAATTTGGTCAAGCTTCAGAGACAAGAATTCGAAGAGCTCTTCATAGGATGGATCATTTGATGATAAGTAGAGACAACAAAGGTATTTGGTCTGTTTCTGGCAATCGAGTTTGAACCACATAACATCAAACTTATTTGGTTCCGAAGTTTTTTCTTGTTGACATGAGAGATTCGTTTCAGAGTAGAGGCAGATACCTCCCTTGGATCTGAAACGTGTGTGAAATTCGTACCCAGGACAGAGCAGATAGATATTGGTGGATGAATCGACCTGTGTCTCAGTATGAGCCAATATGTCTGGCTTTTCAATTTGAAGGTGTCGATGGACATCGTTGATGTTCTTACTCAGACCTCAGAGGTAACATAGGTCTATCTTGAGGACTTTTTCAGTCGATGGTGAACCTCCTCTAACACCTCTTGCCCGGAAATGCGAATGGAGATGTATTTTACTCCCGGATAATTTCACTTGAGGAGAACTCATTATCGCTTATTCTGTATAGAGAAGGGGGGTTGGCGTGGAAAGAAATGGAAATTGGGTTGGGTTGGGTTGGCCGGAGCATCAACCAGCTACTGAAATACGAATGAGTATACCCATTTCACAGTGCCTATGGTTGATGTGGTGGTATCGCACCGGGCGATGGCGTTTACCATCTTCCACCTTTTGGCGTCCTTCTAGTCGCCTCCTACGACAGGTAGGACTTACCGTGGGGTGATTCTATTCCGAACACCACACTTCCTTTGCTCCCCATTGATTTCAGGTCGATTAAATAACATTGGTAGGTATACCTGCACCTGTCTCCACTGTTGCTACTTTGGGCCTCTACAAATAGCTTCGTGCAGAGCAGGTGGAGTAAACCAGCTCATGACCAATCTGGCATCCAAGACCCCCATTGCTCCGTCAAATACTAGAGTAGTCTCTGCCTGCACAAGCCCCAAAGTAAGGGCTATACAGAAATGAAAGCCGTTAGAATTACTTATTTCAATCGATATTCCGTACCATTCTAGAGGCAATCGCATGTAAAAAGCATACAAAATCCTAAAAATAGACCTATGTATCATCCGTGGTTGAAGTGAGAACACCAACGACGTCCATCGACATCATCAGACTGAGAAGCCAGAAAGAACTTTGGATTCGAATGAGCTACTCATCACAAACAATAAATTTATACCCTACTCATTCAACTCATGTTTACCACTACAAACTAGTGATTTTTACTCATGGATTCGTTCATTCTTATCTGTTCAAACTCTGAATCGATATTTCTCTCCCGCCGTCAGGGACATATTCATTTGGAGAAAAAACTGAAGAATATCACAGAATCTGAATAATTTGCAGGGTTGTTGATTATGTTAATTAGGTAGGTAGAAGAGATAATTATCTGAGTATATGAATGAAGTTGACAATGAAAGAAAAATCGAATTATTACTTACTGTTGAACACCGGTCACAACTCTTCAAGTTACCACTATCAGGTACAGTTCACACTTCACAGTACCACAGTTTGAAGGTAAGTATGTACTTACACTATACACATGCACTGCAAATCAAAACTCCATGTGCCAATGGAATTTATTTGATTCATAATTCACGAGACGAACGTAACGAAAAATAAACTATGAACTGATGAAACGACCACGCCAACGCCAAGCCACCTACATTGAAAAATATGGGGCTTCGTGATTTTGGCATAATACTCTTTGATGTGGTAGATTTCTACATCACAAAAAGTAGACCTATTCTCATTACCGTCCGCACTCATACGTGGTGGTGAATGAAGATATCAGGGAAGTAACATTCAACACAATCATAATACCACTACATATGGAACATGTTATTTGATGTAGTGGTGAATATCAACTTGGATTATTGAAATTCGGAGGTGGTATGCAATAGGTTTGTCTAAGTATTTATCTCTCAAATAAATGATATCACGAATATGTGTTGTGTTTAATGAAACTAATTCGGAACCACCATATTTAGTCTCACAAATTCTCATTCATTTTCTCAGTGTATACACTGGCTTGGTGAAAGTCATTGTTGTAATTGACATCAAATTATTCAAACAGTATTCAATACTTTGAAGATGTTCCCCGAGGCATATAACCTACAGAAATACAAGAAGAACACCAATTCCTACCTTATTTTCCTTGGTTCTCACGATGTTCTCTGAACATAACATGGTATCCTCCTTTTTATTGGATCATATTACTTTCATTTTCAATTTTGTTATTTCATCCTCCATTTTTCCTCTTCTGTGGAAGCACGTCATAGTCCTCCCACTCTCAAAATGTAATGAGCCTAAGGAATTTTTTGATATTCGGCCTATTAGTATTTTGCCCACACTCTCAAAGGCTTTCGAAATGGTTCTTAAAGCACAGATCACTACTTTTGCTAACGAAACAGATTTGATGACTAGTGTTCAATCGGGGTTTTCGCGCCCAATATAGCACTAAAACAGCACTGAGCCTAATAACAGATGATATTCTGAAATCCTTGAATAACAGTAACTTTACTTGCCACATCTCATTGGATTACAGCAAAGCATTTGACACACTTGACCCTACAGTTCTATGCAGAAAAACTCCTGTGTTTCGGTTTTTCAGAATCCTCAGTATCGCTATTAGGCAGTTATTCGTCTAGCCGTGTCATATTGGACCATAACAAATCAGACTCCCTTTTGAAGCCATTCGGAGTCCCGCAAGGTTCCATCTTAGGACCACTGCTATTTGCACTCTATATAAGCGACTTCCATGAATATATTAGATCAGGTAACATTCATCACTATGCTGATGACACACAACTTTACAGCTCTTTCAATTTCCATAATTCTAAGCTCACCGAAGAAGATATCAACAGAAATTCACAGTTTTTGTGCGATGCCTCCTGTGCCCATAATTTGAAACTGAATTCGAAGAAATCCCAAGCTATGCTTTTTGGTTCTAAATGTGTGAGAAGAGAATTATGTGATTCTTTTTCAATCCAAATTAACAAAGACGTAATTTCCTTTGTGGATGCATGTAAGAATTTGGGTTTATGGCTAGATACTGACATAAGATTCACTAAGCACTTCAACCATGTATGCCAATCCTCCTTTAAAGTATTGAGACAACTCTATCCGAGTAGAGATATTTGATCGAAAAGAACTAAATTTAATCTTTGAGAATCCCTCATTTTTTCTGGATTGGCGTACTGTGATTGTATCTACGGACCTGCTCTTCTACAAACTGATTCTACACGTGTGCAAAAAATTCCAAATAGCTGTGTTCGTTTTTCATATGGTATCCGCAAATATGACCACATCAGTGATGCCTTTCATGACTCTGGATGACTGAAACTGAAACACACGAGGGAAATACACCTATTCACTTTCACCCACAAAATTTTGACATCTGGTTCACCGTCATATTTACGTAATAAACTTTCTAAACTATGAAAAGTCTTCGCGCAACAAGCATTTGCTAACTATTTCTAGACATACCAAGCCAATTTTCACCCGAAGCTTTTCCTATAATGCTGCTGAGCTCTACAATACCATTCCTGTTGAATTCAAGGAATTCACTTCAAATAATTTCAAGAAACGGCTAAAATTTTTTTTCTCTGAGCGGCAGTATTTTTTCCTTTTTTTTGACGGCGTGATTTTTGATTTGGTTGTAACAATCTCATTCAGTGCATTGAACTGTACTGTCCACTTATACATTTATACTAATTTCCTGGTAATTATTCCGATTACCTATGTACAATTCTTAATCATTAATTCATTTTGAAAATTCTGTAATTTATTTTCTTATTAATTATATTCATATTATTCTACCGGTTGGGTTCAAAAGCAGCTTCTTAGCTGAACCCCGCCCTTTCATCTATTTGTCTCTTTCTCTACCAGTTGTGAAATGATGATGATGAATAAAGTCATATTATTATTATTATCAATATTATATCCCCTTTCGTGGGAACCAGAACATGAAAAAAAAAATACCATGGATGAGTTTAGTATTTGTAAAAACTCCACAAACGATAAGATTTTCACAAAATTTTGTGGAAATCTTATCGTTTGTGAAGTTTCTACATTTGTCATGGATTTTCATCAAGTAACGGCAGTCAATTAAAAAAAAAATAGTTTAACATTGATGAGTATGGATATGTAGAACTTGCAGAAACATTCAAGGTCGATAACTCCGTGTAAGAAATATTGATTGGGCTCACTCTATCAGACCTATCATTTACGGCATGAACTTTCTGAACATTCTGTATACTCACTCAACTATCATTATAACGTTCACTATATCTTTCAAAACCGTTTATTTTTATTTCCAGATAATTCTTATAACCACGCAGAACTAGATATCGGTTACATAATATCTATGTTGGCTGGTTACGGCCTGATCTGTTCTTACATCACCAAAGTGAGATTTGCCGTACAGCTCTACTTGTCCCTTTCCGACTTCTCGGAATTCGAAAAACCCTACGACTTCGACGAAACCAACAAGAAGTTCAACAGATACGCAAAATACCATTATGGCTATGTGGAGACGTTAGTGAGTTCCATCTTGCTGGGGTCAAACATCTTCAGAGGTTGGTCAAGTTTTAGAAAATAGAAGAAGAAATAAAGTGTTCATACTTCGTCAGGTTGTAGTATCTATTCATCCATGCATTTATTCATTCATCTATTTATTCATTTATTCAGTCATTGATTAATTCATTCATTAATTCATTCATTAATTCATTCATTAATTTATTTATTATTTCATTCATTGACTGATTCATTAATTCATTCATTAATTCATTCATTAATTCATTCATTAGTTCATTCATCAATTCATTCATTAATTCATACATTAATTCATTCATTTATTCATTCATTAATCCATTCATTAATTCATTCATTAATTCATTCATTAATTCATTCATTAATTCATTAATTAATTCATTCATCAATTCATTTATTAATTCATTCATTAATTCATCCATCAATTCATTCATCATTTCATTCATCAATTCATTCATTGAATCATTCATCAATTCATTCATTCCATGTCTGATAATTTTAACCTGAAAATGTTCCTTCTTCTTGTTTAGTTTACTTATTTAGTAGAGTTCATTGAGTATCTGGTCATTTGTTGATAGCTCACAAGTTATGCTGAGTATTTCTAGCCATTGAAAAAATTCATCATTTCATTGAAATTTTGAAATTTGATCTATTCTCGATCGTATGCAGGTGATCAGTGCCGTGAAGATAACGAGAAAAGAGGTCTGAACGAAGTCTGTGGTCTCTTCACTTACACATGGATGCCCTTCAATATCGACTTCTTTCCCGTCAAGCAACTGTATCTGTTTCAACAGCTGTTTGGTACACACTACGTATACATGGTGGCCGGTACAGCATCTTGGATGGTGGTTGAAACCATCGAGCATATAGCCTCCAGGTAAGGTTGTGACGATTGCAATTTTCAACTGGAAACCTTGAAATGTCTGTGTTTCAGCTAGAGGTAAATTTCAGTGGACTGTATGTTTTTGGTTGTAGATTCAATATTATTGTATCACTCAGATTCAGTTTGATTAATCGAGCACGATTCACCTTTATGGCCTCACCTCGCGTTCTTGATCGGCGGAGACGTTCAAGTAGGCACTGCTTCGGTACTGCTCCTGATGAAATGCAGGAAGAGGGCCCTTTCGTTGTGGTTGGAACAGGTTCAACACTTAACACGTGAAGTATCGCGGGTTTAACTGATCGTCACCATTTTTATTCAACATCGTTAGATGTGAAAATTACCAGCAAAAATGACATACACGGTGATGCGGTATATATCGAAGTGGGGCGAGCTGTCGTTGCTCATCCTTGACTCGGAGGCACTCGCGCAGGCGATTAAGGAACATCGTGCATATATTAGCGCGAATTTGAATAATTAAAAATACGATAATATTTTCCCTATAAATACATATAAAAAAGATTGAGAACTCCCTAGTTCTCATAGAACAAAATATGTACTCAAAATAATATCGAAAAATGATATTCAAAATAGTGGATTTCGAACATCCTACCCACCGTTTTTGTAACAAAAAAAAACCATGCGTCCGGTAATGGACACAATTTGACAAGCGGTCTCGTATAAACACCCTGGTTGTCTCGTATCTTGGCAACACCATCGTTCCCCTTATGGAATTCTAATATCCTAGCTAGCTTTCAAGTTAAGAAAGGCACATTGTCTTGCTCTACTGAAACAAGCGTTCCCTCTTCGAGGGGGGTTTCCGGTAAAGTCCATTTAGCCCGCTGTTGCAAGGTATGTAAATATTCATTATGCCAACGTGACCAAAAATCGGCATGAAGCCTTAGTGAAAGTTGGTAACGATCGAGTCTGTTCAATTTTAGATGGGACAAGTCTGAATCTGGCAAAACTGTGAGCGGCTTAAGGGAGATGAAATGTCTAGGAGTGAGGGCGGATAGATCGTTGGGATCTGAATACATTGCACATAGCGGACTGGAGTTTAATAGGGCTTCAACATGTATCAGCACCGTATTGAGCTCTTCATAGCTCAAAATCTGCTCACCTATAACCCTGACCAAGTGTGATTTAACCGATTTAATTCCGGCTTCAGCTAGACCGGCGAAATGAGAGCCATAAGGAGGCAAAAACGACTATTTGATTCTTTCGGAAGCAGCGGCGTGTTCAGTCAATTTCAAAAGATATTTATTGGCAGCAGTGAAGTTTGTGCCATTGTCTGAAACAATATGGAAGACTCGTCCCCTTCGACCAATGAAGCGGCGCAGCGCACATAGGAAATTTTCTGATGTCAAATCACTCACAAGTTCGATGTGGATTGCCTTGGTAGCGAAACACACAAAAAACCATATGTAGGCCTTCTGGGTCTTAGCACCCCTATGTCTACCTAGAGTTATAATAAATGGTCCTCCGAAATCGATCCCTACAATATAAATGGCCTTAGCTTGTGATATGCGTATGGAAGGTAAATCGGCCAGCACTTCAGACATTTAGATATAATACTCCGAATTGCACGACGAGCAGACAGGATCCAAAAGTTATGTGTAATCAAGAATTGTAATGTTTGCAATACTGGGTGACAACATTTTTGATGAGTGTCAGATATTATGAGGTCAGTTAGACGTGATTGTCTTGGTAACAATATAGGGTGTTTCATGTCATGATTTAACAATGAATTTTTCAGCTTTCCTGCGACCCTCAACACATCATTTTCATCAAGAAATACATTCAATTTCCTGAATGTTCCAGATGGCAGCTGTTTATTTGACAAGCTCATTATTTCGCTCGAGAAAAATAAAAACTGTATGCGTTCAGAGCGGTTTGTAAATCTTCTGCAGAAAAATGAGTCCTTTCTCTAGCTTCAGGTGCGACCTCGCAGTTATTGATAAAACGAAAAATATAGGCAGTGACAGCCTTTATTTTGTCAAGGGAGGAAAATTTGGATAGCAAGTCGTCCAAAAAATTGCTATCTTTGAAAGAAGCAAGCGCAATCTTTCTTTCTTCAGCTTGAACAACTTTGTCGGGCGGTAGTTTAGGGAGTTGCAGGCGTGGCCAATGATCGTAGGGTGAATGTAAGAAAGAAGGTCCTACCCACCACTCGGGTGAGTTGATGATGTCATTCGGAAACACTCCACGTGATGCGCAATCGGCAGCATTTTTTTCCGATGGCACATAGCGCCACGAAGCGTTAGGTATGTTTTCCTGTAACACCGAAATTCGGTTACCTACAAACGGCTTCCATTTATGAGCAGATGACGTCACCCACCATAGCACAGCCTGACTATCAGTAAATGCAAAAACATTTTGAAAAGCTATATTTCCAGAATAAACGTCAATAACGAATTTCATCAACTTAGATAAGAGGAAAGCTCCGCAAAGTTCAATGCGCGGGACCGATTAGTGTTTTGACGGTGTCACCTTTGATTTGGCAGTAATTAATAATGAGGTAACGCGGTTATCTTTCACTACGCGGATATAAACGCAAGCGGCATAGGCTTTCAAAGAACCATCGCAAAATCCACACAAATCTATTGAATCAGCATCATCAGAAAAAATATATCGCGGAATTTCGAGAGTTGATAGAACAGAGAGTTCATTCTTGTAAAGTTGCCATCGAGACAAAATTTTGTTTGGTGAAACTTCATCCCAACTCAATTTTTATTTCCATAAATCTTGGATTAAAATCTTCGCAATGACGGTAACGAGCGTAAGAAAGCCAAGAGGGTCGTGAACGCGGGCCAGTTCAGACAGGATATTTCATTTAGTGCACGGCTTATTATTTGAGCAAACTGAATATGAAAATGTATCGGATGCAGGATTCCACTTCAAACCTAGAATTTTTATAGTTTCTGTGGAGTCCAGATCAAGTGCAAGAGAATTTCCTTCAATTGAGTTAATTGGTAAATGGCAAAGCACCTCACGTTTGTTACTTGCCCATTTACGTAAATCGAACGCCCCCTTTTGTAATATAAAAATCAATTCATTTTGTAATAGGTCACGGTAGGACATGAAACAAATACGTCATCAATGAATTTAATAGCGCATGTGATGCTAATGGAATGTTAGCTTCCTCATCTGTCACTAGCTGTATCAGAGTTCTCAAAGCAAGAAAAGGTGCACAGTTAACTCCAAAAGTAACTGTACTTAGAGTATATTCCTGTAGCGGAGAATCCGGAGAAAATCGCCAAACTATTTTCTGGAATCGTCGATGAGCTGGATTAATCAAAATTTGACGATACATAGCTCGAATATCTGCAGTCATTGCGACCGGAAATAGGCGAAAGTTCAGTAGAATAGTAACAATATCTAATTGCAATTTCTGACCGATGAATGAAGATTCATTTAATGAACGATTATTTGAATCTTTGGAAGAAGCATCAAATACCACCCGAAGCTGAGTCGTTGAAGCTTCCGGTTTTACTACACAATGATGCGGCAAAAAATAATCTCCCAATTCACTCGAACCTGAAGATCGAACCATATGGCCATTATCTAAATGCTCCGTCATGAACTTACAATATTCACTGCGTAAGGCGGGATTATTTATCGATCGTTTTTCCAAATTATAAAAACGACGTATTGCGGTTAATTTTGAATTTTCAAAATATGGTATTTTTCCACGGAATGGTAGCGATACAACATACTTACCAGAATCAGTACGGTAAGTTGCCTTCTCAAAAATATCCTCACAAATTTCATCATCCGATGGAATCAGTTTTCTATCTGGAATTTCCTCCAGTGCCCAAAATTGACGTAATGTATCATCGAGAGAATCGTTTTGACTTATAGTGAGGAACGAACTGACGACTACAGAACTTTCATCTGTAACGCTCACATCCCCCATGAGAATGTAGCCAAATTGAGTATTTATCGCGGTGGACAAATTAGCATTTTTAGAAACCACTCTTTCCGCTGATAGCACTTTTTCGACAATTATTGGTATTGGTATTGGTAGGTTGGATGGTGACAGATGCGCTGCGACCTAATTAGATCTATTGTGCCCCATCTGCTCTTGCTATATCAAGGGTTTCCTGTTCATAGCAGCCCCTCGAGATTCAATTCCTTTAGGAGTTTGAGGATTTTGAGGGGGTCTAGCTGTGGTATTTCTTCCACAGTCAGCTGGTGTGTTCCCAGTATGTTCAATCTTTTGTGATGTACAGCGTCACACTCCATCAGTATGTGATGGGGTGTTTCTGGTTCTTCCTCACAGAGTCTACAGGTGCCGTCCTCCTGTAAGCCTAGCTTCCTCAGGTGTTATTTGAGTCTGCAATGCCCCGTTAGAAATCCCGTTATTGCTTTGAGACTTCCTTTGCTGAGGTTTGTCAGTGTCTTAGATCTTTCTCGGTTGAAATTTCCAAGGAGATCTTTAGCCTGCCGTAGTCCTGGGAGTCTTCTCCATTGTCTGGCTCTCCAGGCTTTTTCCGCCTTCTCAAGTTCTCCTTGGAAATAGGAATTTCCAAGGCCGCAGAATGACTCTGGTCCGATCAGTGGCGTTGAAGCTGCTTGTCGTGCCAGAGCGTCTGCTTGTTCATTCCCCTCCACTCCGATGTGCCCTGGCACCCAGAGGAGGATAATTTTATTGTTGCTGCCTAGCTCATTCAATTTGCTTAGGCATTCCCATACCATCTTCGAGTTGATGTAGGGAGAGCTCAACGCTTTGATGGCTGCTTGGCTATCGGATAAAATCGCGATGTCCTTCTTCCGGTATTTCCTGTCTAGGTTGAACTGGATGCATCTTTCTATGGCGTGTATTTCCGCTCGAAAAATGCTGGAGAATTGTCCCATGGATTCTAAGTATTTGGTGCGAGGCCCAAAGACTCCTGCTCCAGTTCCCTCGGGTGTGTTAGACCCGTCCGTATACCAAGTAATGGTGTTC